GGCCAAACTTACAACTTTATGCTAAGGGTTAGGGTTTTTCCCTGAGGGGCTCCCCCATCTTGGAAACAATTTACCTTCAGTTTAAAATGCTCTAGGTGATGTAACTGCTCAGCTTGCACATCTTTATCAGTGTTGGGGGGGGGGGGGGGGGGGTGGTGTTTGTCCAGTATGTTTAAATAGAATGAACAATTCAAAACTGAGCACCTGCAAACTGAATAAGCAAAGGGAGCTTAGCAATACTATTTCTAATCCTTCTCAGGTAGGATTCTTCTTAAAGATATAACACTTCTAGACTGAACTTTTTAAAACTGACTACATACTCTCTCAAGTTCTGCATCTATTCAGTTCCTGTAATCTTATCTGATAGATTTTTGTGGGGTTTCTTAAGTACAAAATGTATTTTAACTTCCTGTATTAAGCTCTGCCAACTCACTTCAGCATGTAAATGTTTTTAAGTCTACTTAGAACTGTCACACTCTAATAATATTATTAGATACAAATGAGTTCCATTAGTGTAACTTTTAAAGGTGCAAGTCTTGTCCAATTCTGCCTGCAGAGACAACCAGGCACTCACAAATCGGTAGGTCTTACATTTGCTGAAGCAAAAGGGAAGTGGGGATCCTTCACTGCTTTTGTGTCTCAGAATGTGGCACATAAAAGCAATTCAGATTTGCTGAGCTGTGCAAACCACATGCACAGGAATGTGCCACAGAAGAGGGTGAAACAGGAGAAAACTGCAGAAAAAAATGGAAACAAAACACCATACTGATTTGCAGTGAAGTGTTACAGGAACTTTACAGAAACTTCAGCCTTAGGAAAGGTACATGTCTTAAGACTCCATGTGTTTGATTCAAGCAGTAGCAGCACCTTGGCTCCCAGTCCTTAATTTAACTGCTGCTTCTTGTTATTCTCCCAGTCACTATTTCACAGGTGATGAAACAGTTCAAATGAGCAGTGTTCGGAATACCAACATTTCTTGCTTCTATGAAGACAAACACCTTCTGCTCCCCTCACCAGGGAGTCCTATGCTGGTTTCTGAGTTATAGGAAAGAGTTACCCAACGCCTGAGCTATTACCCAATTCTCTCAAGGCTGTTGGCTCTAGTCTCTAGTTGCCTTGCAGAAACTGACCCCTTAGGGAAACAGTGAGTCTGACTGAGCTATTTAATAAGCACAAAGTCTTCAGTTTCTCCTGGTGACAGCACTGGTTTAGGACTGTATCTGGCAAGATGCAAGAGAGGTTCTCTTGATTTAGCTTGCTTACAGCTCAGCATCCTTGTATTGAGAGATGTGCAGCCTCACCAACAATCCCCCAGAGCCAGGTAGGAAGGTGCTATTTTGGTTATGACAGATGGACTCGGAACTAACAATGTAAACAACAAATTCCCAAATGGTTCTTTAGCAAATGGGTTTAAAAATAAAAATAAAAAAAAAAGTTAACATAAACCTTATATAGGAAAGGAAGGGTAAAAAGAATGGGTTTCATTTCTTTATATAGCCCTAAACTGCCACACTGTGATAAAAACTATGCATTCCAGAACCCTTACAGTTCACAATGCTATGGGTTGCTCATGAGGCCATACTGCCCATAATTATCAGCCAAACTACATCAGTAAACTCTTCTTCATGGCATAATAACTTGCCTTCAGCATTTTTCTTCCAAGCTCTAGACTTCTACTTAGATTTATTTACCCTGACACTGCTGTTTAGTTACTACTTCATAAAGTTAGGTATTAGTAATGCCAGAAGAGCTCGAAACTTCACAAAGCAGTCATCTCTTTACAGAAATCTGCAGTCTTGAATCATGTGTTGATGTTACTCAACAGAAACACAACACAGCATGGTGGTGCTTAAATCCTTACTTGCTTCACTGGGATTTTATCTGAACTAAGAAGGTGGTCAAAACACAATGTAAGCTTTTCAACATCTGAGCTAGGTTTTCTCTAATTGCTAATCTCAGCTGTCCTGAGTGTTAATCCCCTGCCACAATTAAATATGTTTTGTTTAATATAAATCAGAATAATTGCTTAGACTTTAAACACTGCAGAAGCAGGTACTAACAGATACTCTATGGTTATGCTTACCACTCTTTTTTTCCATCAACAAAGTAACTGATCAGCTCTTCTGGAATTTGCTACAAGTATTAACTACACAGCAGCCAGAAGATTTCCTATCTGAGTTTAGTAGAGACAAACTTAAGTAAATGCTTACAGCAGCTCCTCCAGTCATTCCTGCTGAAAAGTTATGGGTTGTAGTTTTGCTAGAGGGTTTTAACTGTTGGGTTGCTTCCATTTCTGTAAATGGTGTATTTTTTTCTGAACAAGAAATGTTCAACAAATGTTCATGGAGGGTTTCACAACTGCGCCTTAGACACCACACTTTGAGCAATACTTCTGCATGTTTGTGATGTATTTCATTTTCATCTCTTTTGAAATTAGCTTTCCCTTTTATGATGAAGTGTCTCTTTAAACCTGTATTCTCTAGCTAACCTATAAACTGAAATGGATTTATAATTGTGAATAAAAAGGAAAAACTAGTATTTCATGTTCAGTTAAACCTGCTTATAAATTTTATAGTGAAATGAGAATGAACTGTCACAATTGCTAAGAACCCCTTCAAAAAGAATTGACTTACAAGTACAGCATACCAAAACCTCATGTTGGTGATACAGCCAGCACACATAAAACACACAGACACAAAAAAAAAAAACCACCATCAAGCAAAATAACTTCATCTATAGATACTTCTATCCACATTCTGTGGTAAAACAGGGACATTGTCAGGGTATCATTTTCTCAGTACTTCAAACAAATACATTTAATATGCTTACCAGAAAAGAGTAAAAGGATTGCTCCAAATGCTTTGACAGCTAAATGAAACTCTATTTAGATTCAGTGCTTTTCAGAAAGCTGTAAACAGTATTCAAGCCTCTAAAAGCTCTTGGGAGCTATTCAGTCACTAGCACTAACTGGTTTTGTTTGATCCTTTATCCCCACAAACGAGACTGATGCATGTAAGACTGAATTCAGTTGATATGTTTCCTATCAGAAAGGCCTTCTCATGCTCCTTTATCAGAAATAGTATTTTCCACTGCTTTCCCCTCCCACCCCCAAGACAGCCACAACATCTTTTTATGGACAGAAATCTGCAGTAAGCCAAGTGCTGAATATGTGTTACAGCTGTATTCTATTAAATAAAACCCTGAACAATTCAGGAGTTCAGTCACAGTTTAAAGGAACAGACAATAGAAATACACAGAGAATAGTGTATTTGAAGTATGCTTTTTCATTACAGTCCATGTCAGCACTAAGCTGTTATATAATGCTGCCATTATGTGTCTTTTCTTGCTGTACAGCTAGAATATCCACAAATCTTGGAGTTTTACACTTGGAATTTTCAAAAGAGCCAGAAGCTGGATTGAGGCTTGGGCAAACACCATCTGGCAAATCTTACCAGAAAAGCTTCCCTCACTCTCTCCACAAAAAGGTGAAGATGCTTGAAAGCTCTTGGGAGGTCTAAAAGAGTCAGAGTGGAACTGCTACTAGCCAAATGCTGCCCTAGAATACCTTGGATGAGAAGAGTGGCTAACAAGACAACCCACAGGTTATGCTAATATTCTGCATGTTTGAATTAAGACTCTTCAAGCTGAGCTCTTCAGAAACCTTAAGCGATTATACTCCTGCTGCTTCTTCTTGGAGCAATCAGAATGGAGAACCCTGACACCTTGGAAAGGTCCAATATGCAGGTCAGTGACCCCCATTGGAAGGGAAACTCTGAACACAAATGTCTTTAGCCCTTTATCTAGTTCTGTCTTGACACACACATTTTGAAATGCAGTCTCCATGGAAACATAACATAATCAATCAAGGTTAAACATTCAGCTCTTATAAATAAATCTATCACTAGTGGCTTCAATGTTGCTTCACACTAGCAGAGTAACTTCTAAGTCTTTAAATTGGCACAGAAAGAGATTTTTAAAGACAGTACCACATGGGATGCACCGTCTTTTCAAGAAAATAAATGTCACTGCGTGAAAAGGTTGATTATATTCCTTTAGAATGTGCAAGGAGGATTCTAAAATTACATTTATTTCAAGCAACAAGAAGGAAAATAAGCTGTTTCACTATGACATTAACTTCCACAAAAAAAACACACTATTCAAGGGAAGTGATCAATTCATGACTGTATAATATCCTGTATGTGAGTAATATCCTTTATTAAAAGAAAAAAAAGAAATGAATTATAGTGGGATCTCTCTCAGAAAAAGGATTTAATTATTGCTTTTGACTTGACTTTTGACAATAAGTTTTATTCCATCATGTTGCCTACACACAGCAGCAGGAGCACTGTTAACCTTGCATAAAACACGCATCTTTAGTTTAAGATGAGGCAAATAAATTGCCTCCCCACAACTAAAGGTGTCTTCTTGACACCTATCTAAAATACTATCAAGCCACTGATCCTAACCAAAATGTTCCTTTTGTTTTGATCCCTTTTTGCAAATCAGGGTAACCAGTTTAATGGTCATGGGAGTTTCTCATGGCAAGTTGTAAAAAGGGAACTGAAAGTCCTACTGCATACTGGGAAAACAAGTGGTTAAAGTCAAGACTGAAGGATGTATTTAAAATGCTCCTCTGTATATGAAGATTTGGGCAATTCCTGAAGTGCTCTCATCCCTAACGATTTTAACCTGTTGCTCTCAACTCTCCTAACAGGCTTGATATTTTTCAGACTAAACCTGTACCAGTCATTCCCCAATGCATCCCCCTCAAACTCACCACACTTGTATGGAGCCCCAAACTCCTTGCAAGGTCTGAGCATGAGTAAGTGCAGGGGTGGCAGGCAATGTTAATTTACAGAACTGCATGTCTAAGATAAGGAGGAGAGAACTTAACATATTTCAATTATTTTTTATGAACCAGTTCTGCTTGAAAAAGTAAGTGGAATAGGAGAGTAGGCTGTAATCTTGAGGAAGTGGTAAGCTTGTTGCCTGATACTCACAGAATTGATTATCCCTTTGAGTGCCTGGAATCCTCCAGTGACAGGGAAGACTTGCTCTTTTGTGTCAGCAATCTTTTCAAGCTTTTGAGAGAAAACATGTTCAAACACGTGAATCATTTGGCAAATAAAATTTGTCCCACTGCTTTTCATCCTTAAAATGTAAATGTCTAAAACCAACTCTCATCCACTCTGCAAAGAGAAAGAAAATTTTGAGCTCCCTCACAGCTGACTTTTCTAAATGGGAGAACTTACTACAACCTACTGCAGCTAACAAAACCACCACACTAAGGAAACCTTTTAGAGCTGTACCTTGGCAGTGATTTTGTAACTTTCCAGAATTACCTTCCCTGTTTGCTCCATCTTCCATTAAAAAGCCTTTCTACGTAGCTTCTACAGTAAAGTCTTTTGGACACTTCTCCATTCAAGTCACTTTCACAAGAGTAGCTATAGCCTTCATTAGGACATAGCAACTCTGGAAGAGCTTTCAATCAATGAAGGACATGGATCCTTCTTCCTTTTTCTCATCCTTGTTGTTATACATACTGCTTGCAGCTTGTCTATAGCTACTCTGTTCATGCCACTTGTAGCTTAATCTACTTGCCATCTTAATGAAAGGGGTTCTGCCAGCATCCTTTCCTGCTGGCAGCTACTAGTTAGCAAGGGTATTTCCGACAGGTCTTCTCAGCAATGAAAACAACACCCACACATTCTATTTATGTCTAGGTACACATCCGAGTGTCTGCTTCCTGAGCCAGAGAAGACATTATACTGCCTAATGCAAGTAAAATTGCTTGATTTTGATGTATACAACCTTGTGACAAGGTACTGCCTAGTAATCTACATTAGTAATGCTCTTACCTGTTCTTGTATGAAATCAAGGACGCCAACACAGTAAACTCTAGCTCCCAGCTCTCTGGATTTCTTTGCCTGTCCCAAAATAAAACAGAGGAATAAGCAATTTTTCATTCAAGAGGCAACACCCACCCAAACTCTTCAGAATATAACATACATTTTCACCTAGTGCTCACCTCTTTCTCTGCATGCAAGGGAATCAGACCATCTAGCTTGCCATCTGTCAGTGCAATGATGATACTAGAAAACCTTGAGGCTCCTTGCTTTGCAATTTGCATGTTGGCCTGAAAACAAAAATATTTATCCAGCTGAAAATTACACCGAAGCTTTTAACCAAGATTCATCTTCTACATGAGTGCAGCATCTGAAACCACACTCAGCCCCATCTTCAAACCCATCTTGTGACAATCTTCTGCCCCTCTTTAACTCACTACTAACAAGGAAATCATGAACCCATTTCCAAAGTGCCAGGGTCACCAACTGATCAACACCTGGAAACACTTGATTTTTTCAGGACAGATGCTCTCTGAGTTGTGAAGATCACCTCTCTTTAGACCCACCATAAGGTTTCCTGTGCTACTCCCCAGATTTCAAATGCCAGGCATTAGCTTCCAGGACATAAAAAGAATGGCTTAAAACTAAGTTTGTTTTTTTTTTTTTACATGGCAACAACTTGTGTTTGTCTGGTTTTTCAGCCCCTATATCACAGGTACAAATTTGGCTTCATAGGCCAAAGGAAGAAACTAATTTTTTATCAGTAATACTTAGATCGTCACCTTCAGGGCCTGAGTGGTTCAGCAAAATCACAAAGCATCCTTTAACTGTACATTCTCAATAAAATACAAGCAGTTGGGAACTCCATAATTAATATAGTCTAAAAGTAAGACTATTTGTCTTGAAAACGCTTATCTGTGCAGTCAACTCTCCATAAGTATATGTTCTAGAAGGCTCTTTAAGGCTCACAGCCCTACAAAGCTGTCTGTGACTATTTACCATGTAATTGGTATGCTGCGTTAGCTGTTAAATTCACGACAAAGAACTGCTCTCTCCTGTGAAGGATCAAGTCAAAGAAATTCCATATGGCCATTTTCTATGATGGATAATCTTCTGCATGGGATTTGCATAGTATCTGAGTAATCTTGGGACCACATAGGAAACCAAAAAGATTTGAGTGTAACAGACTGAGGCATACAATCAACCCATTTATGCTACAGGTTATAGCTGCTGTTGTCCAAAGGATAAGAACATGGGATATTCTGATTGCAAGAAGATGAGTAAAACCTACCTGTTTTAAACCTTCATGTATGTATGTGTCACCTGCTGGTTTTACCTCCTCCAAATCCTTAAGACCTTTCTTGATTCTCTCCCTGAAAACAAAAAGGTAGGAGATTGCTAGCATGATCTGAAGTGGGGAAAGAGGTTAAGTTTATTGATGCGAAAATTAGCCTTTGTCATAGAGGAGATGCGAAATTCAATTCTGCAAATATAGCATTTAGCTGAGATACCATGTGGAGGCAGATTTTGTATTCACAATGGAAGCAGCACTGTGGTAACAGATATTTTAGACCTAACTAACACAATATGCCTCAGTGAGTCAAAGAGCTAGAATCAAGTAAAATTGATTCAGACAGAGTAGGTATTGCCAAGAAGTGGCAAAGCCTTAGCATTAAATAACCCAGTGGAAATGCTGTTGTAGTAAGTCTACTTTGCTCAATTAAACCAACTTCACTTCCAATCATGCTGCAATTAAAAAAGAAATCCCCTAAAACAGCAGTTCTGTTTCTAGAGAAATCTTCTGGGTCAATATGCAGGTATTTAATGGAGTAGCACAGAATTGCAGTAATTACAGTCTAACAAAATAAGTATCAACAGGCAGACGCAGCGTTTGCAAGACCCCTCTTGTATCTAAGGAAGGGACCAGGATTACGAACAGTCTGGGGGGGGGTGGGGGGGTGGTCAACATTTTTGGCTGTTTCTGTGTGACCTCTGACAAGACGTCACACTTACACAGGTCACTTATATTTAAGGATAAGGTTGTGGCGTGACCTCTCACAGGCCTTTAAAAAATCCATCTTGGACTGCAAGCCGCTCACCGAACTATGATGTTAAGACTGGAGAAGCTGGAAGGAAGCACAAAAGGAATTCTTTCAAGTGAAATCAGCATAAGCAGGGAGAGAAAGGCAGAGAGACTTTACTGAAGAATCAAATCTGCAAGTTCTCATGCAAGCAAATTTCCAGTGAAGCCCACGGCAAGTTGTGCTAGTAAAGGATAAGTAAAAACAAAGTAGGGACAAAAAATGGGCCAGAATATATAGAACACTGTAACAAACATAGGCGACAAAGAGTAAACCAGCAGGGTTGAGGAAAAGGAGGGGAAAATACATTGTAGGATGCGTGAAAGCTTTCCTTAGGGCATACAAAATGAGAAAGAATGCATATGCCTCTCGGCCTGAATGCCACCCACTAGTCATTTGTTCCACTGATAGGCTTCCTCTATGTTTAGAAGCTCTGTTTCAAAGTATGACCCGTAGCTGGAATGAGCTCCCAATCACAGGATCAACCGATACAACAGGGGAGGGGAAGAGAGAAATATGGTGTTGAATATATGGAAGGGAAGAAGTTATGTAAGATAATACAATCTGCTTGATCCAAATATTTTACATTCAGCATCTATAGAAACAACTTGAAACTGATCATGTATGAACACAGATTATAAATCACATACTTAGTGCTTGCCAGAAATGAGTGGCAGCACATCACAGGCGTTAAGTGTTCTGCTGCCAAGAAACAAGCAGCAACTGAAGTCCCAGTTTTCTGAAACAGATTTCATTTTGCAAAAATAGCTTTTGTACAATCAGTTCAGTTTTATTTATCTAAAATGTCTTGCAACCTGGTCACAGAGAAATCTCTGGTGTTTCCAAGCCTCTGCCTACAAGGGGTTCCAGGAAAATCTTTGGCAGCATTAAGATTTTTTAGCTGCGTTTAATCAGTCACTACCTCTTTCCCTTGGGGCTGGATAAGCCCAGCCAGATGCGACCAAGCTCCAAGCTGGTCAAGTACGAGCAAGTCCTGGTCTGGATGTCACAACGCCAGTGTGGGTGTGTGACTTAGGGCCCCAGCAAAAAAGCCCTACCAGACAGCAAGAGAGGCTGGTTCAATCACGCTGAAGCTCACGCCCAGCCAATTTGGAAGGTGGGCACATGAGGTCGTGTCTGCCTAAATCATTCTGATAATGGGATTCTTTAATCAACCAGCTATAGCATTTTGAAGCCCCTGTTCCTGCTCTTCAGTACTCTCAAAAGTCTCCTTTTCCTGTTTCTGTAATAATTTTTTGTAGCCACAAAAATCCACAGACAAGGTCTGTTTTTCACTTGAAATAACAGAGCCATGACCTCAGTCTGGGTGTCTGGATGCAATACAGTTTAGTAACAGTGATACAGGCTGAAGGACCACTGGCTTCATGGTTTAAGTCAAACAAAGGAAGGAGGTGGAAAAAGCAAAACAAAATCAGCAACTCACAGCCTGTCTGTGTTTGGGCTGAAGGAGTACAAATTTAATACCTCTTCCCTACTCAGCATATGTGCTGCATCACATCTTCGCTTTTCAGAAAAGGCGCATCTAATTTTTAATAGCTACCCTGTTTGTTCTCTCTTTTATGGAGCTTTCTAGCTACTTCAGATATTTCTTCCAGCAGCAGCCAGCCAAACACAATGACAGCTACAAGCTCTCTGTCATTTTGCTTCTATGGTTTCTTTTTGGCTAGATCATAAGCAGGGGCTGCAGGAGTAATCCCGGCCTGGCTGAGGTCAGGAGGGGTTCTGGTGGCAGGTCTAGCAGCACCCACTGCTCTCACCTGTCTGGGGAACTCTGCTGTGCTCTACCTTGCTGCACCACAGCTGCAGAGGCTGTTTGCTGTCAGGGAGGCTGTGCCAACCCTGCTCAGGCCAAAGTCTGTAATGAGCTTGTCTTATATCTTCAGTGCCTCCTCAAGGCAGGGCACTGTGGAACTAAACTTAGAGTTGTAAACAGACCATTTAGTAAAGACACATAACAAAGCAGCCCAGCTCTGCAAACGACTGAAGAATTCGATTTAACACCAATTAAACTGTTGCAATTAAACATGCTCCTTACCTGAGCATGCTCCACAATTCAGATTTGCTTTCAGGTCTAAATGTAACCATTTTCCTTTCCAAGTTTGAATTAACACCAAGGAAACTATTCAACAGTTTGCAGGAGAGGTTTCTCCGCATAAATTCGGTCACACCAGGCTGCAAGCAACTCAACAGGTACTGTTTTCATTATTGTTTAGTCTTATCTTTCGCTTCAAGTAAGTTTAATTGACACAATCACAATCCCTTGTCAGCAGCCAAGCGGTCAAACTACTGATGTTGTTAAGGCATTGCCTTGTCTCCTTGTGTAGAAAGGGCCACAGCCAGCACTTGCTGGCAGTGGAAGATAGGCAATAAATACTTCTTTCTACTACAGCAGGATGTAGATCCCACTCCATTTAAGAGGACTGCAGATAAGGTACACAGCACAAGCCACCTTAGTTTCTCAGTGACATGATACTGTCTTTGAGAGTAAGAACACTTAACAAAAACGGACAATCATTTGCCTTAAAGGAAATATATGCAGCTTCAGTGTGTACAAAGAAAGTCTTATACTTGCTAGAAAGCAAAGCATGCTGGAGGACTGATTCTTAAAAAAAAAAAAATTGTGCTTGTACATTAGTGCTGCAGAGGTTAGAACCAGCTCCAGTTGTTGCATAGGCCTTGAGTCATGCTGATTTAGCTGGGTAAAGGTTTAGCTTTGTATGGAACACTGAGTCTCCACCAGTATCTATGCAGCTTTAAGTAGTGGTGTTCTTAGCTCTTCTGGATGAGGAACAGTGTCTTGTATTTCTTTTCCATGTTGCATTCTACCTATTGAAGTGCTGGAATCTTGACTCATTTTTCATTGTGCTGGGAGTATAAGTGCTACCAGGGAAACTGTGATTCCCATGAGCACATATTTATTGTCAGGAATGCGGCTGTGTGCCTGTGAGGCAATACACTTCATCTCTAACAAAGGCAAACAAAACAAGTACTAGGGTTTTGCTGCTAAGTATCACAACAGGAAAACACACAAAGTTGTTAGTGAAATAAATCAGGAGGGGGTGTTCTTTATCAGAAAGAGGGATGCTTACTTCCCTGACCAACAGAGCTGTTGTACTGGTGAAAGTAAACTCTGCACACTGGCATCCTCAAATGCAGAATTTGGAGGAGGCTCCTGCTTTCTGCATCTCTCAAACACTACACAGGGCTCAGTACCATTATAATAAATATTCTGCTTCAAACTTTAGGCCTCCTGCATGGGCTCCAGACGGAAAACACATTAAGTGGTTGACTCTGCTGTACTTCATACGCTCAGCAGAACATGCGCTCTGCAGATGGCTCTGTTTTGGCAAGTTTCTTGAACCAAAGCGTAGGGTTAGCTCATGTGACTGAGGCTCAAATACGTGTCTTGCTAGATCGCATGTGTCTGTACAACAGAGGAATAGTCATCTCTAACCAGACTACAGACAAGCACAGCAAGATACTCAAGTGTCCTATTTTTCCACCCTCATTAATACAATCTTTCTTTAGCTCCAACAGGAGTTTCACTGAAGCAAAGTCAGCAAGGCTGCTCCTGGCCGGGGATGTCAGTGAAACACTGCAGAAATGGATTTACAGACACCTGGAATTCTGCTGGCCAGCATACAGCTGGCCAGAAAAGAACACAGACCTCATTGTGCCATCTGGATGACATTTGTAAGAGTATCCACTTTTCCCAACAACTTGCTTTTCAGAACTAGTAGCAAAACTGAGCCCCAAATATGAATGCTCTGATCTTTGTTTAGCACTTAGTTTACAGCTTACAGCTGAACTTGACAGGGGAAACATGTACCTCTAAAATAGAATATAACCATTGTGAGAAGTGCTGTCCATCTGGATGTTGGTTTTTTTTTTTCTATGTATTTATTATAGCATTGTGTGTACTGTGGTTAGCAGTGTCTTCTGTTTCCAGAGTTATTCACATAGCACTGCTCACAGTCACAACATATTTGGTAATCTGGGTGCTTCGGCTCTATGGTGCGAGCTTCTTTATGTCCACAGCTTTATTGCGCAGTAAAAACCAGCAAGAGCTTTGTGGAAACAATCAGAAGCCTAAGGCTTTCAAAACAAGAGATCCCTACTTTGAACTAACTGCTGGGAATGAATTGTGGTTTCCTGCCTTCTGCAAATTAGCAAGTAGTCAAGGGGAAAAACATCCCTGCAAGTCCAAAATGCACATAAAAACCCCTAAGCCATAATATCCCATAATCACACATACACACACCCATCCCCAAAACTGCACTGTACTTCACATCCTTGTCTTCTGTTTGGAACAATGGGAGTTAGACATTCTAACTAATTTTCCTGTTAAGTTCTTTAATATTTAGAAGGACAGCTGTTCCTACCATACCCATTCTTACCTACACATGTATGGTCACAATTGCTAATGTTTCGTTCTTTATTCTCCTTATAATTCCTCCTTAACAGTAAGGGCAGTAATTTCCTTTCCCTACCACACTCACAAAAGCATTGGCAAACTTTGTATTAAAGAAAAGTCCCACAAAGGAACTCACTAGAGCTGAAGAAGGTTCTCCCTATGCTTTAAAAAAGGCTTCCGAGAAAAACATTTTCCTTTCAATAGCTTCAAGTGTGCCACAGACACGCAATGAAAAAAGCGCTTGTGTTTCTGTGACCGGGCTCCAGAGTTCTGCCCATGCATTTCAAGCAGTCTCTGTCCTGTCTGTGCTTACTCTTCGGTCCTGACAGGGAGTAGGCCTCTGACATGGATTACAGGCCTAACGAAATGGAGAGAAAGGATCTCATTGACTTCAGCAGTCCTCAGAACAGGCTTAGTGTCCTCTCCTGATCTCTCTCAAGCCATTAAGAAAAATGGCTTATGATCTTGTCAGTATCCAAGCCCACATGGGGGGAAGTGAACACTTGGCTTTTCCTAAATCAGACCACTTTTTTAAATGTTAAAACAGGAAGGGCTTAGAATTGGAGTTTTAGACATCCTATTTCACTTCTGTAGCCTGAGGCATTTGTCTGTTCCCAAAGACGGGTCTCTTCAGTAAGTCATGTACTAGCTATTATGTATCATTCGTTAAAAACTAAATACCTACCTCATATGAGACTTTGGGAAACATTAATTTACCATTGCGTGCTTTACCTAGACACAAAAAAATGCTGAATACCTACATAGAGATGGGGCTTTACGAAAGTAAAAGCAAGAATAATTTCTCCTGCTGTGCCAAGGAAGATGGGGAGTCATACAGAGATGAAAGCACTACTTGCAGTTGTTCTGCAAATCAGTGGCAGAGCTCATATGAAGAGTTTATTTCCTGTCATTCTTCTCTTTCCTTTATTACTAGGCTATCCATTGCTTTGTTCACAAAATTAAATCCAGCTCTGAACAAAGGCTTCACGGCTGGCCACCAGTTAAAGGTATCAGTTATTGTTCAGTATCTTCTACTGTCTCTCTGATTTCATAAGAGTTCTTGGGGGGGGAGGAGAGAGAGGGAGAATTAAAAAAGCAGTGTACTGACCTGTCTCCAGTTAATGGCATAATGACGTGTGCCTGGGTGGAAAACACGATAAATGATAATCTCATCTTGGGGCTTTTAAAAAAGGCAAAGAGAAAAAAAAGATAAATACATTTTAGGAAAACGAAAAGAAATGTACAGATGCGTAGCATTTCATTCACTTATTCATGCTTCATTAGTATTATCTTTATCCTCCAACTTCTAAAGAACATACTTTTGAACTGTAAACCCAAAGGGAGAGAGGAATTAAAGGATTTCTGCCCTCTATCCCTCACCCAGATGCTTTGAGAATGAAGTAGCAGAGTTGTTATTCCTTTCTGCCTGACTTCAGTTGTGACATTTGAACCTCTTCCTTAAAAGTATCAGGGGAAAAGTCACTATAAAAAGCAAAACAGCATGAAATGATTTTATTAAGGAGTTCAACCTTTTTTTGAAGAAGCCCACCTGTCTCTTCCAATGAGATGACAAGGAGTCGTATCCAACTATCAATGGAAAATGCCTAAGAACTGATACTCTAGAAGCCCAAGACAGTAAGTGTCCTAAGGTAAGATATAACAACATCTCTACTACCCACTTTTAATTTTTATTCATGACAATTCCAATATATTATGACTTATGTCAATGATGCAACTTAAAAGTATTGACATCATGGAAATACTAGTACTGGGCAGGTCTGCACAGGACTGCACATGTGTTGGATTTAAGATCCAGCCTTGCAGTCTATCTGCTAAAGCTCTGAATAGAAACCTCTGAGATGTTCTAAATTAAATGATAATGTAAATTGATAATGGTATCTTAGTTGCTGCAAGCCATTGCTAAACAAAACCCAGTCTCTGGCAATTACATCACTGCCTAGTCCACGTAACATAAGACTTCCCTACCTCTCTCTTATGCAACTCTCCCTGTGTAATAACCTCAAAGTTACCATTTAGCTAATCTATCTTTAGCAGCAACCAATAAACAGTCCTCTTCAGAAGACACCCAATTTCTGTCCCCTTCTCCAAGCACTCAGACACTGTGAGGATGGAGGAGAATCCTATGAACACACCCATTAGACCCAAGAGCGCTGCCAATGACAGGCCTTTCAGAACCCAGGTGATGGGCATGCAGTGCTATTGCTGCAACCATGTTACAGACAAGTTGACCTGCAGAGCAGATGCACTGCCATGCATTAATTCTTTAGGTGAGGACTCAAGGCAACTGCTACCAGTTGGTTCTTGGCCGCCTTCTCGCAACTCCTCTTTTCAGTTTAAGAAAGGGCAAGGTCAAACAATACCACACCCAATTCCAGAAGCATACTAAGGCCTGAAGGCAGGACAAAGCCTCTTCAGCCTCCAGCAGCACTCCAGCCCCATGAGGGAAACACTGGGGGAGATGAACAGTTCAGGCTCCCACAAGAGCCCAGGAGCCATTGTGCTGTGAAGGGGTTGTGCCCATAAGGTTGAGAGCTCAGCATCCCGCTGCAAAGCGAGATGCTGGTAGGTTGGACTGTCTGGCTCTCTGATACTCCTCTGGTGTGACAGGTCAGCTAAGTTAACTTGCCAACTCAATAGCTTTATTTCAGGTAATGCCCGCAGAACACCACACAACAACTGGGGCAAAAGAGAGCATCAACTGGCTATAAAAGATGATGAACTTAAAGATTTACACTTAACAAGCTCCACCCTTTCTGTAGGGACTCAGGCATCCTCATGCTCTTTTTTATTATTATTATGATAGAACTTACAAAATACTTTTCAAAACTTTGAGTCACCCACTTAGTTTACAGAAGATTTGCTTTTTATAAGATGAATGTAAGCAATATTTAATTATGCAAGCCTAATTGTATCTCTTTGTTAGCAAGCCAAGATAATAACTGCCGACTGCACTTCATTTTCCTTAGAAAACCTACCACAGAGTCTGTCTTTGGGAGGATTCCTTTGTTTTATCTGGGTATTTTGGGGGGAGGAGGGAGTGTTTAAAGCAAAATGCTGCATCACAGTACTCGTCAGCTGTTTTTACAGAGTGCAGTTGGCCAGTATTCACAACAGCAAGACAACACTGCTACTGGGTTACAAAGTTGGTTACATATACATACAACAAATATTTGGTTAACATGGCATAAACATCCTGTACTTGGAGCTTGAATGATACTCACTTTTGACCAGTACCATATATTTACCTATATAAAAATGCATGGAAAAAGTTTTAAAAAAATCAACACAATACATCTGAGAGTAATGTTAGAGATTAAGTATTTAAAGATGCCCATTTACCACCTTTATACTGAGCTCCAAACATGAGAAAATGAAGTTCCCATTATTTTGAGCAACATGGGTGCTAGAAGCCAAAATCTTAGGATGTTTGTGAGAGACTACAAAACCATAGGGGCTTTCCCAACATATGCCTGCACTACAGATGTCACAAGTAACAAAACGCACCTCACAAATCTTTCTGTCAGCTGATTTACGAAATCAAATATTTCATGCCAGTTCTGTGCTACACTCCCAGACCTGAAGAGAAAACAAAAAGCACGTTAGTAATGCCTTGTTCAAGGTAACCAGGCAAGGACGCGTGACGATTTCAGTGAGAGATTACACCATAAGGGGCTGTTTGCTTTTCTAATTATTTCTAGTTACCACAAACCCCAGTTCCCAAGTACGTGAGCACCACACTAGCGTATTTCTGTCGCGGTTTGTCTTGCAAAACGTGTACATTAAGAACTGAAAGCCTCAGGAGCCGCGTGAGGCCCGTCAGCACCGCTTCTGTGGCCAGCCGGGGTCCCCGCGCTGCTGGGGATCCGCTATGCGCGAACTTCACCACAAGAACACGGCAACACAACAGCTGCGGAGGGGGAAGGGTGGCAGATGCGGCCTGACTCAAAAATCAGACATCCCCCCGCGTACTTTCGGACAAAAAACATAACCTACTTGCTGCGAGCTTCACCATCTCCTTGGGCGTCGGGTGGAGTTACCTCAGACACACAGAGACACACACAGACACAGACACACAGACACACACACACAGACACACAGACACACACACACAAACACACAGACACACACACCACCGACAACACAAACTTTCTGAGTGACTCAGCCGCCCGGTTCCCCGTTAGTTATCCCGTGGCGGCCGTTAGCCCGTTTTTACGGCCGGCACGGGGCATGCCCCCCCTCCCTCTCCCCACAGATCCCGCGCTTTCCCCCTCAGCGTCGCGCGGCGCGAACAAAAGCGATGGCGGCGGCGACCGCGACCCCAACCCCATCCCCGCGAGCACCCCGTACTTGTCCAGCACGAAGTACATGTCGAACGCGCCCTGGCACGACGGACCCTCCGGGGCTGGGGAAGCAGCGGCGGGCACCGACGGCATCAGCAGCACCGGCAGCAGCAGCAACGGCGAGAGGCGCCCCCGGGGCGCGGGCCCCGCCATGGAATCTCGGGAACGCGGCGGCCGTCGCTGCCGTCCTGCCGCTGAGCGGGCGCGGGCCGTGCTAAAGCGACAGCCCCTCACCCTCCGCCGCGATTTCCGCGGCGCGGCCCTCTCCGACCGTCAGCGGCGGCGCTTGGGGCGGGGGCCGGGCCCGGGCGGGCTCGGACCGCCTCCCGCGTCCCTCACCCGCCTCAGCGGCGTGGTGGCGGCCACCCGCGATTTGGGCAATGGCGGCCCTGCAGCCCTCTCGCCGAAGGTACCTCCCCGGCAGGCGGCGGCCGCGCCTGACCCGGATTCACGGCGCCAGCCCTCCGCCCGGGCGCGGGGCTGCGGCGGGGTCCCGGTAGCCGGTGTCAATGCGGGGCAGCGGGGTGAGGCCCACGCGTGGGGCAGTCAGCGGGGGAGCAGGTTGGCAGAATTGATGGGGACATTGTGGGAGTATGTCGTTCCACCGTAACAAAACCGGTGGCTTTATGAGCTTTTCGTTCTCTGGGGGAGCAGGCAGCTTCAGCCCTACCCCCCTCTAAACACCTTCTCACCAGCATCCGATTCTCAACTTGCCTGCTCAGCCAGTCACTCACCCCTCCAAAGAGATGCAACCAGCAACCTCATGGTATCATAGAATGGCTTGGGTTGGAAGGGACCTTAAAGCTTAAAGCAGTTCCAACCCCCTGCCACAGGCAGGGACACCTTCCACTAGACCAGGTTGCCATAAGCCCCATCCAGCTTTGCCTTGAGCACTGTCAGGGGTGGAATCCTTTATTTTTAATTTCTTATTAATCGTAGAATCATAGCATGGTTTTCATTGGAAGACCTTAAGATCATGTAGTTCCAAACCCCTGCCATGGGCAGGGACAATCTTGAGTGTTCTTTGCCAGAGATGCTGCATATAAAACAGATTTCTGAACCAGCAGACAGCTGAAGGCTGTTGCAACCCCTACTACACCCATATACATTGGCCATGTCCTTGGTGTCAGAAACTGGCTACAATAGCTCTAAACTGGTGCTCTGGGACAGTGCACGTGGTAACCACCGATTTACAGCAGGCTTTGCAAAACTAAATACAGAGCAGACATTTGGTTTGAGGCATAGGCTGGATTCTTCACAGCGAACATGAGGCACTGTGGAAAGCATTGCTTTGTGCTGCAAGAATATCATCCTTCAGAGTTTTCCATCTGTGGTTTCAGGTTTTAACATGCTTAATAATCTTAAAATATTATCTGAAGGCTAAAAAGATGCGTGAATTTTCTTAGAAGGAAAATGCCAGTCATGTGGTATGCTTCATACACCAAAATTATCCCCTAAGTTATTAATAAATGTCTAGCCTGTATGTCTTTGTTTCCTTTCTGGAGTTCTCTTCACAAGCACAATGTGACAAGCAGTTAAGAGGACTTGAGATGAAATCAGTTATTCTGGTTTTCCCCATTTGTGTACTCAGTGCTTTGTTTTAACAGCAGCTTTGATTTACAGGGGGCTGTGCTGACCACTGCAATGCACAGGAGCTCCGTATCCAGCTGTCGAGCACCAGAGACTTCAGGAGACTTCAGATGAGGACCAGACTCAGGATTCTTGAATTGCCAGAGAGAGACTCTTCATTAGGGACTATAGTGATAGGAACAGCAGGTGTTGGGTGTAAACTGAAACAGGGGAAGTTCAGGTTAGATATAAAAAGGTAGTTCTTCCTTGTGAGGGTAGTGAGACACTGGAACAGGTAGCCCAAACAAGTGGTAAATGCTCCATCCCTGGCAGTGTTCAAGGCCAACGTAGACAGAGCCTTGGGCTACATGGTCTAGTGTGAGGCATTCCTACCCATGTCAGGGGGTTGGACCTGGATGATCTTAAGGTCCTTTCCAACCCAAACTATTCTGAAATTCTATGATTCTCTCTTTTAATGTGTTAAGTGACATTTTACTAGTCAGGTAACACGCTAGAGCTCTCAGAAATCTGTCTCCCATCATAACATCAATTACAGAAGCAATGAGTCAATAAAGCTCCCCAGCTGGGGAAAGACAAAACGCAGTCCAGAGGTGCCCTGTGCCTTGTGACAAATACCCGTGTTTCCTTCATAATCTGACAGCTCTGGCTTGTGGTGGAAGTGATCAGAGGTTGAGCCATTTACCAAGACAAAAATCCCTCAGAAATTACTGATTTCCCCCATCACCTGCCCAATAAATGATTCATGAGGCGGTGTGTGTTTGTGACTGGCAGAAAGCTGTCATGGCCTCATGGCTTTTACTAAATTAATGTTTTATGGGGCTGTATAGGGGATATTACCTAGAACCGTACTGTTTGTTCCCAAGATGCTTTTTCTTTTACTCTCATAGTAACTACCTCATTACTTAGGTTGACCATCTAATTTAAATTTCCCTTTCAACAGTGGCTTTTCCGTTGTCAGCTTTTAATTTGCTGATAATCCTCACACTGCAGGGCATCCTGCTGGTGTTACGCAGAGGTATGGGTGCCTCGTACACCATAGCCGCTAAACCCCAATGCTGTGTCTCACACAGGTAAGTCCTTCATACCCAGAGGTGCATCTTTGATTCAGGAGGGGTTACTAAACAACAGTCTAAAGGAGAAACACGTAATTTGTATTTCTCTCTGACAAGAACTGATGTGGCTATGGGAAAAGCACAGCTTACTGCAGGCTTCCATACGGGGATCTCTGTTTCACTATGGATATAAAGTCTGGCATACTGTTCAGGGAAGTCAAGAGAGCTTGAGCATTGTTTATAGGTGAGAAAAATACACAGGATAGGGGAGGCTGATATTTGTTATCCTTGTTGAGCCTCCACCTTTCAGTCAACATCTTTCTTGTTCATGCATGATAAGATATAAGAAGAATCTTACATCAGTCAGGCCAGTGGTGAGCTGGCAAAACTGGTATCTTTAACACCCATCTTCTTGTCACTTCAAACAGATAGGTCTCCAGGATGAATTGCTGGTTGGAATAACAGGACTTCATGCAGAATTAAGGTCCTTTCCAACCCTAACCATTGTATGATTCTATGATTATCAAGGATTTTCTTGTTAAATTAGGTCACAGTGCAGCCCCACCACTGTGAGAGCAAATTACCTCTGTTTTCCCTGCTGCAGACTTTCGAACAGCCTCAGTCTTTACACAAGTACTCTTTCTTACAGATGGAATGACTTGAGGATTGCAGATCGCTGTCGGCAGTCCCCGTGTCATAGATTAAATCCCAAACAAATTTAATGTTAAATATATACTGGTGGTGCAATATTTCTTTTCCCCTTTCTGTATCATTTCATTTTGCTCTCAGTGCAAATAAAACAGTCAGATGAGGTGTCTCTGTCAGGAAGTTAGAATGGGAACACTGAAAAGAGCTTTACAAAATGAACTGTGTGAAATAAATACGCAAAATTATATTCGGTTAGAATTCAGTCTAAATCTGTACCATGTCTGCATATCTTAGTCTACCAGTGACTGAAAGTTTCAGCTACACAAACACAACAGAATTGGGTTTTAACCAACGCAAGAACCTAACAAGGATTGTGCAGCTCTCGCAGGCCATGTAGATGAATCAGACACATCACCTGCTCCAAAAAGTATTGTAAGCCTCTGCCCTCTGCAAGACAAACTAGAAAAGCTGCAATCAAAGGTGGCTTGCTGGAGATTTTTCATTTCATCGCATTTCCTACTGTCTTTCGATGATTTCCTGCAGGCACAGTGCTCTGACCTGACACATCCATGCCAGAGTGTCTTCCCTGCATCAATCCAATTCAAAGCCAAGCCCCAGGATGATGCAAGTTGGAAATTTCACAAAAGTCTGGGGACCAAAAGCTAGCAAGGCTGAAGGGTGTGTGGTGTTTTACAGTCCCTGTGGATGCACAAAATATGGAAGATTAAGGACCGAGCAGCCGGTGCTTTGCCAAAGACCCCACGAAAGCGAAGGCTGATAGTTCCACCCCAGAAACACTGTGCAGTGCCAGCTCCCCCTCCCTCTGCCAAGGCTTTCGGTACAGCAGCACAGGCTGAATAAGGTTTTCCAGAACAAGCTGCACTTTAGCTCTCAGAGTCAGCCCCAAGCCCTAGGAGCACTTGTCTCGGCTGGGAGTACATCACGTTTTCCAGCTGTTGGAATTTTTACTTCAGGCACATGTGACTGGCTGTGTTTGGATTGAACCACCCCTGCCAGTTGTGGGGTTTGCTCTTGTTTCTAAGCATGTGGATTCTTCTTTCAGTTTGTGATTTCTGCTGAAGTGGCAGATAAGTCATGCCTGTTTTGCTGGAATGGTTAGATGAGAGAGAGAGAGGTACAGAGGGAAGTACTGGGCAGTATCATGGCTGTATATATGTGTTTGGCTTCATTCACCCAAAGGCCTGAGGACCTCCTTTCCCAGTTCTCAGAATTCATTAGACAATGTTCTTCTCTTTCCTTTCCTCCTCCTCCACTACTGAGTAAATCTTGGACTGCAGCAGCCAGCCCCAGTGGGATGGGTGGGTTTCACTGTGTGCACACCAACATGAGAAGCACAGCGCGGGGAAATGTCACTGCCCTAGTGACTGTTTGTATACAAACCAGCAGAAGAACAGACTCATGGAGCTGAGAGGAGAAATACTGCAAGATGTGCCTCAAACTAGATCTTCATGCTGCTACCTCCAGTGACCATGGAGATGCTTGCTTGTATAAAAACAGCTGTATGGGGTGTCCAGCAGAAGGAGGGAACTCTTCATGCCCTTGCCTGTACTGAGGGATCAAAGCCAGCTGCAAACCTCTGCCTCAACACCAGGCGAGCCTCCTGCTGACTCTGGGTGTTGGTTCCACATCTGGACTAGCAACAGCTTTTCCTCACTCGCTGTCCTCCTTTACATGGGTTTCTTGCACCATGGTATTCACCCCCACCTGGGACATCAGGGAAAACAGGAAGAGGGAGAAAGCATCCTCTGGTGTGCCTGGTATGTATAAAGCTGACAGCATTTGGAGAGGACAATTAAAAGAAACATCTCCCAAAACATGGGCGTATCTAAAACTTCTTGAAGTGGCTAATGACAGCTGGTCCCTTTCAGACTTTTCTTACCTCTCAGAAATGCTGGGTTTTGTTTAATTTCTGCCCACCATTCAAGCTGGGGAAGGAAAGGAGGGTATGGCAGTATTTGTCCATCAAAAACAGAACCCAGACAGACCTCCACACCGCAGGAAGAGACTGCAGTGATGAGTCTATGGT